AGTCAGTTGAATGCAAAAAACACAGCGAAAATGGACAAAATGGCCACTGATCGAAATTGGACGGGCCGCCATTTCCAAACCGGGCCTCATCTGCGGAGCATTTGAAGAACTTTTAGTCACCACGTCATGTAGTTTGTGCCTACCAAATTTCAGGTGTGTACGACGAACCCCCTAGGAGGAGTTTGATTTCGAAAATGGCCGTTTTTCCAACATGGCAGATTTCCTGTTGGATTTACAGAAACATGCAAATGGACTTTTTTGTGCGGCACAAGTTGTTACACGTGTGGCGAATTTTGTAGTTGTAGGTGAACGTAGCCGCGATGGGACTATGTTGAAATATTGTAGGGGGCGCAGTTGAGTCGTGTTGCATTTTACAGCTTGGAGCGGAGAGTTTTTTGTTCGTGCCGACCAGCTCTATATGCATATGAAATTGTGTAGTTCTAGGGCAAACGTGCTTCCGACAGGATTGTGTTGAAATTTTCAAGTTGGCGCTGTGGGGCCATTTTGGCAGTGACATGTTCGTGTCTCTGATAGTTTCTGATTTCCGCCAGTCCTGAAGTGCATGGCGATTTTGGTGAGTTTTCGAGCACGTTTAGGCCCTCAAAAATGCGTTCAGAGTTTGCGTACCATAATAATAATAATCACAAGGGTTTCAATAGGGTCCTTGCACTGGATTGCTCGGACCCTAACTACATCACTCAGTAACAACATAGCAATGACATTCTGTTAAATCTCATTTTGTCTCCTCTGATTTTAAGGTATACATTTGGCTTTGTTTTGAATTTTATCAACTTTCATTGTGATCAAAGTCCTCCATTGTACTGACATATCATTTAGTGATATGACACCACTTTGTCATCACACTATACCACAAAAAAAAGTTATGAGGACAAAGGTCTCCACCTTACTGTCATTATATAGCGCTGTAAAGAGAAAATTGCTCGAGGGAGAATCAACAAAAGGTCAGAGCAACTATGAATGGATTTTTTTTTGCTGTATTTTTTTTTTAGTCCTTTAAATACATCCACATTTGCACATTTATGGTTTACAAGCATGGCTGCACCTCTGATAGACAGAGCAAGTGGAACTTTAATCATGTTTTCATAAGGCATTTTCTCAATAAATCAAATACACACAGTATGAATACAAATGAAGTTTCACACAATACAGCTCTTGATTGCTTATATTCAAGGAATCAACCTTTCCCATCTGGAGATATTAAAAAAAGTGGCATCTGAGAAAAACGTGCCCTGCAAGAAGATATCAGTGTGTCACATGATGAGACTAGAGGATGTCTCCAAGCTTCCCTCTATAGACAGGTATGACCTTTCCATGTTAATCACAGCATCAGACAAGTCATCATCTTAGGTTTCATATTTATTAATAAATAAAAAGATTCTGCTCTGAAAAGCTATCTGCTCTGTTGTGCATCAGCTCCAGGATCTCACTAAGCTCCCTGGATGAATCACACATTGGTTTGGTGAATGACACGTGGAAGTTTGGCAAGTACGAGGGAGCTGTTGGGATGATCCGCAGCATGATTTCAAAGTTCCCCTCCTGCTGCGTGCTGGGTGCAGACGGACGGCCCGTGTCGTGGATCCTCACCTACGACTCGTGCGCCATGGGAATGTTGTACACTGTGCCGGAGCACCGAGGGAAAGGCTACGCCAAAGTCCTGATCAGCAGCATGGCCAAGAGACACCATGCCCTGGGCCACCCAGTGTACTGCTTCATAGAGGAGGAGAACACGGCCTCCTACAGGCTCTTTACAAACCTGGGCTTTATCGAAGATCCCTCTTACAGGGAAGCCTGGTTTGAATTTAATGAATATTAAATATTTAGTGAAAGTAAGACTTTCCAATTAACTGCTGAATATCTAAGAATAATAAGTTATGGTTTGAGTCTGAGCTCATTTCACTTGTCTTTGAAGAATAGAAAATTGGAGAGTTAAACTAGAAATGCAAGTCAGAAATGTGGTTAAAATGTTATTATCTGTAGCCCATGTACTGCACTTGAACAACTTATATTTTCAGTGAATGCAGATCTTTCCAGACACAGCTCATCTCTTTTCTGGCAGTGTACTTGAAGTACCGGCTCTGAAATGAAAAAAAAGAATCAATCTTAACATCAATTATATGCATATATAGATACATTATTTAATGCTGATTGGTAATTATCCAGACTACTCTGACTGTGTATAAATTAAATTCAATCTTCTGGGGACACATTTGGTCATTTCAAGGAACATTAGTAAATATTTGTTCAATTAACAATTTGATCTTTAAAAATTCAAGCATAAGAAGAAGTTGACATGCTCAGACTGTTACTTAATTAGTGCGTCCTCAGTTTGATTCCTCTTGACTCACTCTCACTAGTTTATGTAGGCAAATACTACAAGATTCTGAAAATTTGTGCATTTATATTTTAATAAAACATGACTTAAAATTACTGACTGTTTTTACCTATTTTCTGTAAATTCTTCAAGCCTTAGCAACCAAGTCTTCCAGTACTCCAACATCAGCTCTGAACTGAGTTGGTGAGCGTGGGCAGGTGAGCCGTCCTTGTAGGCCACAACAATGAGTCCATTTTCAACCTGCAAGGAGAAGAGATCAGTGTGTGACACATGGAGGCAGAAAAGTTAAGAAAAGAATTTGACTTTAGGCTGAGAGACGGTTAAAAGCTGAAAATTACAAGCTCATCACATCATTTGTCTCAATAGATCACCTGATATTTATAGTTGCCGTCACTGTTCAAAGCCCCGGCGTAGGCTGCCACTTGAACAGGGTTGTCATATGTGTTGCTTAGGAATGGTTTGGGTTTTTCTGAAGTCTTCCAGTCAATAACACAAAGTACACCCCTGTAGAAAAAGGTGGACTATGGTGAGAAAAATCAGGTCTCGTACGGAAAAAGTACTTTAACTTAGTCAAAAGATTTTTACCTGTAGCGAGCAACACAGTCCACAATTCCCAGGTAGTTCAGTGTGCCATGTTGTACGGTGCTTTCAATGGCTCTCACTGCACTGACATCCTCCAGTATGTGAGAGATGCTCTGCAGATATCCCTGTACGTCAGCTGGATACTCTGGTGTCTCTGAAGAACTTGTGTCCTTCCATGCTACACCTGAAGTCAGAATGTCCTCCAGAGCTGAATGGAGAAGCTTCCCTTGTCTGAATAAATCTGTTGGAGTACAACATCCCTGGGTTACTTTTTAGTTTATCTTGCCAATGGGGATATATGAGAGGATTACCCACTAAATAATGTGCAATCTCATGATAAGACAGACACATACAGAAATAAAATTGACAAAAGTAATAATAAATAAAAATGTAATGAAATTCATTACATTGCTTTTGAATTGAGGTTCAACAAAAATTTGTAAAAAAAAAATAAATAATAGTAATAATAAAAAAACACAAGTAAACACGCATGATGGGACCTGTAAACAAATATCTTGTTGAACAACCCTTTGAGCCAATCACTGCAATCAAGTGTTTTCTGTAACTCTCAATCAGACTTCTGCACCTGTTGACAGGTATTTTGGCCCACTGCTCATCAGCAAAGTGCTCTAACTTGTCCGGGACAGTTTTTTGTTTTTTTTAAATTATTCTTTTCAACCACAATTCAAAAGCAATGCTTATATCACTAAATTATAATTTTGAAAATTTTTGTTTATTATTACTTTTTTCAGTTTCTAGTTATTTAAGTGACTATTGTGAATTTTGCCTTTTCTTTAATGGAAGAGTATGAATAAATCTGAGGACGACTGTAATGTGTAATCTGATGATAAGACAGATATATCAGCAGCATTTTACATTTGTGTTAGAAATCTTACTCTGACTGTGTTGTTTGAAGCCTTCCTCTCCAAGCTCTGCGACCATCCTCCTCTTCCATCTCTCCAGGTAGAAGATCTGCTCCGAGGAAAGAGTCTGTTGAAGGATCCTGGTCACACTCGGTACGAAGGACCTGCCCTGATCTCTGTTCAACGAAATCCGTGCTGGAGGTCCCGACGACTCCGGCTCTTCTGTTTCTACAGTCTCCTCATAGTTCAAGAAGGGATGCAGGGTTTTAGGTTCCCTCTTCTCCTGCTTGGTAGGAGTTTGAGCTTTGACAACAGGTCCATAGATGTGCTCATCTTCCGCTTGGAGGGTCTCGGGGGTTTGGGAACTGACCCTGGAGGACATGACGGACTTCACCAGAGAAGAGTAGCGCTCACTGTCCACTGAACTGTACGGGCTGCTTTTTCTGGATGTTTTGAGGCAATAACAGGCAGAAAAGTGACTCACACAGAGGGAGGTGCTTTGAGGCACAGCGGACAAAACACGTTTAAGGACGAACATTCTGGCGACTTTAACGCAGCAGGCTCGGGACACTACAGTTGTGTTAGCTACCGAACAACTACTTACTTCAGAGGTTTCTACGTTTTTTGTTTTTTAAGTACATTTTAAAAAAGCCTTCGTTTTTGCGCCAGTACTTGCCCCAACATGTTCCAGTTTAACGAACACAACTGTTTCTAAACGACGCGCGTTTTTGGGTGCACAAACTTCCGTTAAGTAAAAACTACATTACCCATAAGGGGCGGTGTATCATTGAAATACATCCGTGTGGGTAGAACTCATTGTATTCACTTTCATTTACTTTTCCGCTCATTTAAGTCTCACTGCTCCGTTGCTTAACGATAATAAAGTGCAATTTTGCTGTTTAACAAGAAGTTGTCGTGAAACTTTAGCCATGTCCAACCACAGGTACAGAAATGCGTTATGACTGATTAGGTCAAAAACCAATCGTAGCTTTTGTAAAGTCGACACTATCCAGTCATATTCAGTTAAGGCGGGATTTAATCTTTCATCGTCAGGATGGGGCGAAAAAACGATTTGACAGCTTGTTAGGAGGCTAACCAGCCACCGGAGAGAAAGCTTCCTGCATACAGTTTTGTTATTTGGGTTGGCCTTTTTCTTGCCTTTCGGTCGACTTCAGCCCCACCATGACATCCATAGACGAAAGCAGCAAAGAAAAGGTGAGTTAAATGGGTGTTGGCGTGTAAACTGCACCAAAAGCCAGCCCTGGTAGTTTGCAGATAGCTAACATTAACGGTCGCTGCTCTCCGGCTAAGTTACTGAGTTGTTTTCGGTCTGCATAACGCTAGCTTCGAAGCTAAAGCTAGCTGTCGTTTTATCGATAAAGCTGACGAGAGGTGTAATTCAAATAGCGTGTCGACTGCTAAAAAGTTTTGTTTGCTACTGTGACATCTTTTTTTTTTCCTGACAGTGAACGTGTTAACAGACGCAACAGTTAACGCTAACGTCCATTGCAACAGAAAAGTCACGTAGCCGGTGTATGCCATAAATCTGTGTCTCTACGTGTTTGCTGGATTAAATTACGTTTTCAGGAACTGTGGCAAAGCGGTGGACTTGCTGTGAACTAAAACTAGTAGCATTCTGGCAGATATGGAGTCATGGAAATTTTACGGGATGTGGTTTGTGGTGCTTTTGAAGAATATTGTGTAATACAAGGAGTTTCTCATATTCATGCCATCTTAATCAGTAAGATAAAGCTACAAACTGATATTATTGTTTCAAAATTGAGCTCAAAGATGTACTAACACCTCACTAAAACAGTTCTTACTAAAAGAGAACGATCATCCTCACGAATTCAGGAGTTTTACATGGCTCCACCTTATAAACTGACAATGTTTATTTCACCAGCAAGACAGTAAATATTGAACTATGTTAATTTTTTTATGCTATAAGATAACAGATCAACAAGATTGTGGACCTAAATTTTAAGCCCAAGCAGGACCGGAGCATGTGCCTTCAGGCTATTTACCCAACAACAACAACAACAACAACTCAGGATGCTTAATTCATGGAATAAAAACTTGTAATGTTACAGTTCTTTACTCTTCTGATTTCTAAGGTCCCCTGTGCATCGTAGAGAAAGTGTTTTTTTTAATTCTTGATGATCTGTATGGTTTGAGATTAGGTTCTATGTTTCCAGTCTACTATGTTTTACCTAACTCCAGTGGTAGGGGTTGAACTAGAAAGACGCTGATGGTTTGGGGCTCTCAACATCGTAGCTGCTAACAGAACATTCCTCTGAACTGTATACCTCTGTATAATGTCAGAAAAGACTCCAGACACAGGGAATTTGGAGAGATGCTTAACAGGCTAGGATTTTGCTGTTGCTGTTACATCTGAGAAATATGGATACAGAGCAAAAGAGATTGTGTGCACAGCTGGTTCCATATTTAGGTCGGGCGCAGACAAGAGAGTCAATAAAGGAGAAAAGTAGAGCGCACACACATAGAGATAATGGTATTGACTGATTATATATTGAGTCCTGATGAAGACCTGGTGGTTTAGAAACATTACGTGTGCTCCGTCTAATACATTCTGGGACTTGTAATTCATTCATACTGAAACTGCTGTAAGCTGTGCTTGATAAGGTTCATGGTGTCTATCTACATGCAGTCCCACTCTTTTACAGTTTAAAGCCACAGTGCCATAAAGAAACACCTAAAGAGAATCAAATTGAATTTAAGGTATGGTCAAGAATGATGTTAAGACACCAGACTTGTCATAATAAATGATCACACGGATATAGCACCTTTTAACGTTAGTTCGGTTCTACAAAGTGTTTTTACAGTGTTTCCTGTTCATCAGGTCACACACACACTAATGGTGGCAAAGCTGCCACACAAGGCACTAGACTGACTTGTTGAATGCTTCTTGATAGCAGCATTAAAAAACAAGTTACCCTAAGAAATACTTGTACAAGCATTTTTACACAATAAGGGACATTTTACGTAAAATCAGGCAGGTAATTATTTTTTTCCTGGATAACCTTGTTGTATTCTTTATTCCTTAGTTGCGTTCGGTGTCTGTGGACTTAAACAACGATGCCTCTCTTCTCATTGACATTCCTGATGCACTCTGTGAAAGGGACAAAGTCAAGTTTACAGTCCATACAAAGGTAAAAAAACAATCGTTTGTAGCTCCCACACAGTCATATTCTTACACATGAAATTAATCCAAACCTTTAACATATTCTGTAATGATGTTTGCTCATATGTCAACAATGTCTTTACAAATTCACTCTTTCCCCAGACTACACTTAGCTCTTTCCAGAAGCCAGAGTTCTCTGTTCCCAGGCAGCATGAAGACTTCATCTGGCTACATGACACTCTGGTTGAGACAGAGGACTATGCTGGCCTAATAGTGAGTTGTACTTGTAGACACAACTTAGATGCTGTAATATCACAGTTTGTCTTTGGTGGTCATATAATCCATGAAAAGGAATGACGTCGACGGCACACAGGTTTTTTGTTATGTGTAAATTACAAAACAAAAACACTATCTAGCATTGTTAATCCTCATCTGAATAATATTTTTGGTAAAAGCTGTATAGTATATTACACATTTAGACAATTTAACCTGTCACAAATCTTTAATTTATTTCTTGTATTATCATTCATAGATTCCACCAGCGCCCCCAAAGCCTGACTTTGAGAGCCCCAGAGAGAAGATGCATAAACTGGGGGAGGGCGAAGCCACTATGACTAAGGAGGAATACACTAAAATGAAGCAGGAGCTGGAGGCGTGAGTGTGACATTCAAACAAAATGCCATGTATTGAGTTGTACCATTTCTTGTCATGTCCATAAACCTACATGATATATTGTTTTTCAATAAGAAATATTATCTGTGTAACATATTATTGTTGTTGTTTTTTTATACTTTTCAGTGAATACCTGGCTGTGTTCAAGAAAACTGTCCAAGTGCATGAAGTCTTCCTGCAGAGATTGTCTTCTCACCCCATTTTAAGCAAAGACAGAAACTTCCAGATTTTCTTAGAGTATGACCAGGATGTGAGTTCTTCATAATGCTGACTTCCTTTCCTGGGCTGTCAGTTGGAAAGAGAGGAAGTAGAGTTTACTGGAGACTTGTGACACATGGCTTACATCCTGCTGTGATCAGCAGTTATGCTTATCTATGTAGTCTTTGTCATTCAGTGGCTGTGGTGTTTGCTAACAGAACTTGGTTAACACTTTATATACTATATCTCAGTTGTCGTATGATAAGGGAGCATAGAGCAGTGAAACATAGTGATAAAAAATGAACTGTTGGTAGAAGCTCAAACATTTCTTCAATTCCTACTTAGTTCCCAATAATAAGCTTTTATAAATAAATCACATTCCTCTCATATTCCTGTCTATTTAGCTCAGTGTGAGAAGAAAGAACGCCAAGGAAATGTTTGGAGGATTCTTTAAGAACATGGTTAAGTCAGCGGATGAGGTCCTCATCTCAGGAATAAAGGTGGGGCTTCTGCATTATCTGCTTACAGTATATGTATGATGGCATTACAGATGCAATGTTGTGGTCACTTCTCCAGTTACCGTTTTGTGTTTTTGTGTCCTACACAGGAAGTTGATGACTTTTTCGAGCAGGAGAAGACGTTCCTGCTCGACTACTACAGCAAGATTAAAGATTCCACTGCCAAAGCCGAGAAAATGACTCGTTCACACAAAAGTATGAGAGGGTTTTTAAATTGCAATATTAAATTGCTTTTCTGAGTGGTACCATACAATATAATTAATGAAGTTGTTTTTTTGTTTGTTTATTTGTTTTTTTTAATTTGCTTAGTTTTGATTTGAGTTTATTTTTTATGTTCCAGGTATTGCGGATGACTATATTCACATCTCTGCCACTCTGAACAGTATCTCTGCTGAGGATAGTACAGGAAATAAGAAGTGAGTGGAATGCATAATTTGATCATTTTCATTCAAAGACATGACGTGAAGATTATGAGATCTCTGTTGAGGTGATAATTGCTTACTAACTGAAGTGCATCATCCCTTTATTAAAATTATATTGCAGAGATTTTCATGTTGTGGCTTGGATTTTTTTTTCTCCTCAGGAACCTGGACAAGTTGTCAGATCTGTTTGAGAAGCTACGAGTGAGTAAAACCTTATGTACCAACAAAATGAGACACCTGTAAATATTTGTCAGAATTTATACACAACTTTCTGGAATCTACTATATACCTTTATTTGTGTCTCTGCAGAAAGTGGAGGGAAGAGTAGCATCTGACCAGGAGCTGAAACTCACAGAGCTGCTAAGATACTATATGAGAGACATCCAGGCTGCTAAGGTGAGATAAAATGTGCAGTATTAATCCCCATTGTCCTTCATGAGGTAACTGGAACGGAAATTTAGAGGTAAAATATGCAGAGAAAATATCCTGCCTTGCAGGAGATGTGATACATGAGAAGGGTGTATTTCTTTGTGAAATGTAGCACGAAATGGGCATGCTCAGTGTCCTCCTTGTAGCATTGTTATAGTGACAATGTCATATTTTTGTTTTCCAAACAAATCGTTTTTGAAGGATTAGGTTGCACTGCTTCTTTAGGTTGCCTGTTTGTTCTTTTTTATACTCCTGTAAAACTATTTCAAACACGTCTGTTAGGACCTTCTGTACAGGCGAGCCCGGGCCTTAGCTGACTATGAGAACTCTAACAAGGCCTTGGACAAGGCTCGACTGAAGAGCAAGGACATTCCCCAGGCAGAGGAACATCAGCAGCACTGCCTGCAGAAATTTGACAAGCTCTCAGAGTCTGGGAAGAAAGGTTTGTGCATTCATGCGTAACATATGCAGATTTATTCTGTATTTGTCTCTTTGTTTGTGCAGTGAATAGCATTTTACAATGTTATCCTCAGAACTCACCAGCTTCAAGGGCAGACGTGTCGTGGCCTTCAGGAAGAACCTCATAGAGATGGCTGAGCTTGAGATCAAACATGCCAAGGTGAGCGGCACATTAAAGGCAACTTATCCGCAAGGGTGTGTAGCATCTTTATTTTGTGATCTAGTGTGGTGATATTTAAGGTAATAAAAAATACTATAACATTCCCATTGGCACATAGTCTTTGGTCTGTAGTCTAATAAAGATGAAGTTTAATAATCAACTACCATAGCAAACACACAGTGTGATTAATTCATCTTGTACCTACATACATCAAAGTTTACGAATGAAACATTATAAATTGGTACATACAAAGAATTCTACATGCACTGGCTGGAATTGGTATACTGCCTAAAAAAACAATGGTTTTTATCAATTTCCATCAACTTTCACCTACTTGTGTATGTAATCCTCAACAAGAAAAACGACCGTTTACTTACTGTTTAATTGCTGGTAGAGGCGACTCAGTCATCGTTTCTTTCAGAGCATCACATCAATGGAATTCAATACCACGATGAATTAGTCAGTCCCTGTCTTACTGCTAATTAACCATAATTTTACGTAATGGCTTATTGGAAATCAACAATGTCAACACTGATGTCCTCTTCCAGCTTTAACAAGATTATACTCACAATATATCTGAATTATTCCCTCTCAGACCATCGTGGGCCTTCTGCTTGATCATCTTTGATTTGCTTTTAACATTTTTATCATAAACTATAAATATTTAAAATGGTTTCAATAAAATTTCACATTGATATATCAAGTACTTTACAAAGTGTTTGATACATCAAGCTAAAACATCACATCTTTATAAATATCCATGATATATGCGATTAGAAAATACCTGAGAGTGTTGTTTTAAAGTGTGTTTTATGTGCTGTTTATGCCTTTTAGCTGTTCTGTGTATGTTTATTAGAATCTAGGTTGGTTTAACTATTGCACATAATGCTATATTTACTCATTTTGGATTCCTTACAACATCAGGCTCACAAAATGCCAATCAAAATTAGCGTTTTGGTTAATTGGAGTACACTTACTTTCATTTGAGAGGGGAATAATATACACTGACCCTTTTGAAATCAATCCATTGAAATTGAAATGGTCCAGTTAGTTCTGGGAAAAAGGTAACAGACACTGGAATGTAATATCCAGCACATATACTGTCAGCCTGAGGCACAATGATAGTTCTCTAGGCTTTAAACAGAATCCACTCTGTTATTTAGAAATAACCCAACAAGTTACTTTTGTCTCCACAGAACAATGTGACTCTATTGCAGGGATGCATTGAGCTACTCAAGAGCAACTGACGTGTTCGTGAAGTATTTCTGCTCTACAATCACCAAGTGACCAGTCATAGCAAATGGAAACTTGGTGTCCCTGGGGCCTTGCATGGACATGACTCCAAGCCCTCTCTCTGCTCTCACCTGGGTCTGATGCCACTTTAAACCCCTGCGCAAGACTAAGTATCTTGTAAGCACAATGTCTTCATGTTTACAGAGTCCCCGTCCTCTGGTCTGTGGTCCATGTTTTTCCATTATTTACAGAAGTCTAGCCCAATGGGAATGGCTCCAGAGAAAGAGGCTGCCAACATTACAGTCTTCCATATTTTTGCAACACCAATAGATGTGATTTGTCTTGATTTCTCAATTTTTTACACTATGATTATAGCACACTTCTTGCCTTTCTGATTATATTTCTGCCTCCATTCTGACTCTAACCTCTTTCTACATAAATGCTTTTACATAACTTTTCAAAAGGCTCAGAGAATGTTTTTGTTTTCATATTTCAGTAATCCCAACCATTTTTTCCCAGATTTTTGTGCTTATTCTGTTTGAACTTTTTTGCTTTTTGTAAAGGAACAGTTTCACAGAAGCAAAACGAGTGCCTGGAAAAACATCCTCGTGCTTTGCATTCCTGTGCTCTGAGATTAGTGTACATCCAAACCAACACTGTAGTAAAACAAAAAAAACACTCATGACTGACTTAGAAAACGAGATCTTCAAGTGATCAAAAAATAGCTGCATTTCACCTCAGGAATGGGACATTCTTGTTTGTTAGATATGGCTTCAGATTCCACTTTTATTAAAAAAGCACATTAGTTTTGTATATATGAATTAAACAGAAGATTTGAGCAAGATATTGGTGTGGGGGAATCATCCAGAGCATACTAGTATAGCAATATTCACTGCTACACGCTGTTACATCTGTTATGCAGCTTTTTCACCTCACACAACTCTGCCCATTCATTCTTTCATTTTCAGTATGTAATTATGGTTGTGTCTTCATTTTAGCCATTTATTATTTTATACATCAGACCTGATTTATGTACCAGATCCTCTAAACAGATTATTTCAAACAAATATTTAAAAAAAAAAAAAAGATGCACTAAGAAGATGAAAAATACTTTACAATCACGACCAGGCTCAGTGGAGTGTTATAATGCATTATAGTTTTTTAAGAAATTGAATGTATTTCTAATGGATTCCAACTGCGTGAAATCCTTTACATGATGCTTTTTCTTACAGACCATTAGCATTTTATAAATTTGTAATAATGGCATTGAATAAATCCTACTTTCCCAAGTTTGATCTGTGCAATTTATTTTATTTTATTTTTGTTTTTTGCCTGTATTTGTTAGAGATAGACAGGAAAGGGGGGAGAAGAATGGGGAGAGACCTGCGGCAAAGAGTCGTGAGCAGGAGTCGAACCCACGACTGCTGCATCAGGGAATTATAGCCCCTGTTCATGGGTCGCCCACTTAATTAGGTGAGCTACAGGGGCGCCCTGATCTGTGCAATTCTGTATTTGTTTTGGAACTTATCGGCTCCTTTTATGTCACACCTGGAATCCGCCAAAGTTAGTGATTAGCTTTTATAAGTTTTCTCTTGTGGGGAAGAAAAAAAATCCTAATAATTTAAAGACCCACCTACCATACCACTAGGTGGCAATGTCCAACTTACCAGTGTGTCCTGTTTCCACTAAGTTTTAAGTATGTGAGTCCTTGAATTTAAACACAGCTGTGTGCATGCTTGTGTTAAATCCATTGACCGCTGTGAATCCTGGAATGGGACAGTGTGGTGTATTAGGTAAGCTTTGAGGAAATGCCAGGGGGCTCATGGGAATTACCACCACCAAAATGCACACTGCATGTCCTACTTTATGAGCAGGACTAAGCAGTAAAAGTTAAACAAATAACCTGCGGTGAAAGACTACAGCCCAGGTGGAAGTAAAGATTTTTTTATCCACCGGGTCAAACACTTTCTGTTAGTGTGCATTGTAGTCAGCATATAGTATAGTATGTATATAAAGCCAGCAGTTTAAAAAAAAAAAAAAAAGTAGCATAGCCTAGCATAGATTTGTAAATACTTTTCACAATCCTTATCCTACAAATAAGCTCTCTGAAAGTCATGTTAACGGTGCTTAATAACTCTTTTCCCAGCTCTGTAGTAATTCCACAGACACAGTGATGAAAGGTTATGCCTGAATGTGACGTGGAGAAGCAAAGCTGAAACAATCACATGCACTGACAGAATTTACTGTACCTGTCCACAATGGATTTGTCAATATTGACAATCCATGTCATGCCTATCACAGTGACCTGTAGGATCTGGTCCATCTGCTGATTGGATGAAACCACAGACTGTAGCCAATGAGACTAAAACAAATTATCAGTACAAACAAATTAGTTTGCCAGTTGTGGGCAGAGCAAACATTATTTCCAAGCACAAGCATTAAAGAAGTACTGCTGTGATGGATCCAAAGAGCAAGGCCTCTCTTTGGAACAGGGCGAGGAATACACTTACAACCAGAAGTTTGCACATGCTGTATAAAGAGACACATAGCCTTATTTTCTCACTATCTAACATTAAATCAGACTAAACTTTTGTTTTTGGTCAGTTAGGATTCCCTAAATGATTTTTATTTGCTAAATGCCAGAATAATGAGAGACAGAATTTTGTATTACTTTCTTCGAGGTCACAAGTTTCCATACATGTCCTTAGTATTTGGGAGCATTGCCTTTAAACTATATGACTTGGGTCAAATGTTTTGGGTTTCCTTCCACAAGCTTCTCACAATAGTTTCCAGGTATTCTGGCCCATTCCTCCTGACAGAACTGGTGTAACTGAGTCAGGTTTGTTGGCAATCTTGCTTGCACACACCTGTTCAGCTCTGCCCACAAATTTTCTATAGGATTGAGATCAGGGCTTTGTGATGGTCACTCCAAATCATTGACTTTGTTGTCCTGAAGTCACTTTGTAACTAATTTGGTGGTATGCTTAGGGTCATTGTCCATTTGGAGGACTCATTTAAAGCTTTAACTTCCTGGCTGATGTCTTGAGATGTTGCTTCAATATTTCCACATAATGTTCTTTCCTCATCATGTCCTCTATTTTGTGAAGTGCACCAGTCCCTCCTGCAGCAAAACACCCCCACCACATGATGCTGCCACCCCCGTACTTCACAGTTGGGATGGTGTTCTCAGGCTTGCAAGCTTCCCCCTTTTTCCTCCAAATGTAACGATGGTCATTATGGCCAAACAGTTCAGTTTTAGTTTCTTCAGACCACAGGACATGTCTCCAGAAATGAAGCTCTTTGTCTCTGTGTACATTTGCAAACTGTAATCTGGCTTTTTTATGTTGCTTTTGGGGTAATGTCTTCTTCATCTCTGAGTAGCCTTTCAGCCCATGTCGGTACAGGACTCGTTTCACTGTGGATAATGACACTCTTACCAGCTTCAGCAGCATCTTCACAAGGTCTTTTACTTTTGTTTTGAGGTTGATGGGCACATTTCACACCAAAACACTTCATCTCTGGGACACAGAACCCATCTCCTTCCTTAGCTGTATGATGGATGGACATTCCCATAGTGTTTATATTTGCATATAATTGTTTGAACAGATGAACGTGGAACCTTCAGGCATCTGGAAGTTGTATTCAAGGATGAACCAGACTTATGGAGGTCCACAATTCTCTTCCTGATATCTTGGCTGATTTCTTGGCTGATTTTCCCATGTTGTCACAAAAGGAAGCCTTAAAATACATCAATGGGTATGCTTCCAATTAACTCAAATGTTGTCAACTGAGCTATTAAAAGCTCCCAAAGCCATGACATCATCATCTGGGCTTTCCAAAATAGTTTGATAGTTTGAAGGCATCGTATTCTTATTGTATGTAAACTTCTGACTTTGAAAAAAGTTGCAACATTTTTTTGGTATTTAACTAATAGAAATAATTTTGCTAATCCTAATTGACCTAAAACAAAATAGCTTTAGTCACGTTTATTGTCAGACAATAAGAAAAGAAGGTTATGTGTCTTTTTATACAGTGTATGTAAACTTCTGGTTTCCAATGTACATAATACAAGGCCCACACATTAACATGGGAGATAAACCATTTACTTACACAGTTTCACTTCACTACAGCTACTGATCTGACTGTATCTGTATCAACCCATGAAGTATCAGACCTACATTTAGCCTTTTCATGTTCCATTTGTGTTGCTGTGGTGTTGTGATAAAGAATTTCCTCAGTTCGTTTCGAATCTCAGAAGCAAGATTTCCAAGACATTAATGCACTGTGTGAAATCTGGCGGTGCAAACTGATGTAACAGAACAAGTATGCTTGCTTCAAAGACTTATTTAGCTGATTTTATGAATTTCCTTATCTCCCCTTAGGCACGCTTAGATAATTTACAGGCTCCTAATGTATGATAAGGAGTACGATTTTGCACATTTTTAGAGCTTTTGGAGACATTATCAGTGATTTACCATTAATAATTAATTTCACACCATCTTCATGATCCTATTTTTTCACTATCATGTCAGAATCCTGAGTCACGCACAAAGTGGACTAGGATTTTGAGAATGCATGATGAAGGCTATAACAAGAATGACAGAGCTAAAATAAATAAAGGGCTGCAACATGGCACGTTTCTCTGCTGTGTCATGTTATCAAAAAAAAAAAGTGTTCTTGAAGCCACTTTGGCTGAGGTCACGGTTAAGTGAGCTGCAACATCATCTTACACTGTCTGCCTGTGAAAGCACCTGCCTCATGTCCCCCAGCTCTGCACTGTTCAACTGAAGAGTCATGATAAATGCAGACAGAGGCCTTGGAGCAGGACTTGAAGGCATGATGCATGAAAGCCTCCTCAAATAGAAACTGTGTCCTCTGAAGGGACTCGCTATGAAAAAAACAAAAGTGCACCTGCAGGGCCTGCTGACGTAACTGAACCGTCTGGGCTTCCTAAGTGAAACAGAACAGGGTGCTTCTTCGTGCTGCCCATCAAGTAAAACTTGCTCACAGATGCAGATTTTTTAATTCCTTTCTGCCTCCCTTTCCACCCTCTGAGTTACACTTTCTTTTCTTTTACCGCAAAAGCTTGAACATGAATGTCTTAAAAGCTTTGTATTTTCTTTCTTCAACAATGTAATTCTGCCACTGGCAAAACACCAAAAGGCCAAACCTTTTCTAAGGTTGCACACCCTGCACGGCTTGTTTGGTCATTAGCTCATATGCACGCAATCCTAATACAAAGACACGTCAGATTATAAATAACTGGTATGCATGGTAGCAAAAGTATTTCACCTCATTACACAGCAGAAATACTTTTAATGCAATTATCTGAATTTCACATTTGATTAAACTATGCTGCGTAAGGCTCGTTATAATTATCTGGATTGGCTCATATAAATACTAGGGGGAGCTCAGAGAGCAAATTTGGCCGATGCTGAACTTTCCGTAGCTGCTAGAATGCAGAGTCAGTGTGAGAAAAGGGAGTGAAAATGCCTTACAGGACTTAGGACAGAAATGCAAAGCAAAGGCAAAATCACTGACTCTGATTCATGTCGGTTTTCATAAACCAGAGGCAACAGCAAAGATGGTATGCTTTTTTTTTTTTTTACTGGTTTGTCAGCCATTTATTGTATCCTGAGGTGCAGCCACTTCTCATCGACAAGAAAGGATTTCAATTAAGACACCAGACAAATACATTTAACAGTTCTTTTGATTGTGTGAACTGTAAATGTGGGTTATTACTTTTCAAGTCACTTTTAATCATTTATTTTACACATGCTTATATTTTTTTTTTGTCAAAAAAATGAAAAGTAGATCTCCAACTACAAATTGGAAGGTTTTTTTTTCTGCCTTTTCAAATGCTTTTCGTAGCATTGTGTGGTTCATGTGAGTTCTGTTGCGGCACAGTTTGTTAAAGGCTCATGAGTGAACTGACTGGAACAGTTTCAGAAGAGGTTGTGGCGAGGATGTCTGTAGAAACAGTTTTGTTTCCGAGTGAATAACCTGGGGTGTGGACATTCAAGTGTTCCATCGTAATAACTTACACACGCACATTCAGACCTTGACACTGCGTTCATGCATCACATCAATGCAATATCTTTTGGGCGCTAAAACAATTGGAAGGTGTGGTGAAAAACCCTTTCACAAAGAACTTTACAAACTTCTATGTCATGATAGTGCTAATAATGTTCAGCACCTTGTAGGTTCAACAGGTTTGACTGCTGGTGGTTATTTCTGGAATAAGCTGGTGGACGAACTGTGCAATGATGCCTTTGTCTCCTTAGAGATGGATG